ACCTTAAAATTGAGACTGCCTCCGGGCATAGGCGGCCTCCTAAGATGCAGCATTTTTAACCTTGTGTTTGGATGGCCGCTTGGAACCCACAGGAAGTTGCAGCACAGAAGCCCCAGTAAATACATAAAATAATCTTTTCAGCAAGGAAGATGGAAACGGCCTACTTCACCTCCCCCTGTTTACTTAGAGAGTATTCCAGTTCCCTTTGGAGGGGGCAACATTTCCTGAGTCCACTGTGAATTCGGCTAGTAAATGAGACCCACGGGTTCTCGTTATTGCAGCTGTCTGAGAATACACCTAGGATCTCTTTGTGTGTAAAAAGCACGGCAAGGGGCACGAGCCACATCTTCAATGTTCATGCAGGTCTCATGTTCACATATAACATGTAAGCCTTGTCAGCCTAGGACAGGGGCAGGCAACCTTAGCTCTTTTATGACTCGTGGACTTCAACTCCCAGAATTCCTGAGCCAGCATGGCTCAGCTTGGAAACCTCTCCCTTTTCCCTTAGCGTGGCTCTCAGGAATTCTGGGAGTTGAAGTCCACGAGTCATAAAAGAGCCAAGGTTGCCTGCCCCTGACCTAGGAGTTAGGAATGTTAGTTGGCATTGTAAACAACCTATGTAGTAGAAGCTGGCTTGATTCCAGACCTTATATCTCATTACTGAGATGCTCTGCTTCATTTCAGCAGGGATGATGGTTGAAAGCTGCCTGCTATTAAATGAGTGCCTCTCTCCTTATTTCTGAAAAATGTGTTTCTGTTCTGAATGACAATATTATAGCTAAGTAGGCATCATTTCCAGATTTATTTCTGGCCTCATTCCACGCACCAGGGCATTGTTGCTAGGGACAGGCTCAGCCTGGACATCAAAAATCCATATAGAAGACAGTTACAAATTATTACTTAGTGCCTCATCAGGACTCAGAAATATTGCCACCTTGTACCTGCAGTAAAATACTCAAATTTGTGATGAAGTCACCCATGTGACTCCAGAACCTGCTTCCAGAAGTTGTGAATGCTCCAACACTGGAAGTTTTCAAGAAGAGACTGGACAGCCATTTGTCTGAAATGGTATAGGGTTTCCTGCCTGAGCAGGGGGTTGGACTCGATGACCTCCAAGGTCCCTTCCAACTTTATTATTGATCATCGCACAGTCAGCCAGATGTTCAGACTGGATTTGGCATTTTTGTCGACCTATCGAGTCCTTCCCAAGGACCTGGGATAGGCGGAGGTGGATGTTTGATATTGTCGCAGGATGGAAGCAGTTCCTAGTAAGGCCGCCTTTTGCAATTGACTGATGGCGAATTTGTCAATGCCGATGATGGTGTTCAAGTGGTGCTCCAGTTGTTTTGGGATTGCACCCAAAATGCCTATTACTATTGGTACTACTATATTATTATTATTATTATTATTATTATTATTATTATTATTATTATTATTATTATTATTATTATGTTTCTGCCTACATTAATTAAGTGAGATTATATACATCTCTAAACAGTACAAGCATTAGGAAGTTGGTGTATCTGCTTGAACTGGTTTACCCTCATAGGAAATCTGGCTCTCACTGTACTTATTATTTATTTATTTATATCCTGCCTTTATTATTTTTTTACAAATAACTGAAGGCAGCAAATATAATCAATACACCTTCTTCCTCATATTTTCCCCATGACAACGTCTTGAGCTAGTGAAAAATTTAGAAACTTTGGCAGAATCTCAACAGTAACTATAGAAAAGCAGTAGTAGTCCTTCTCAAAAGCCAAAGCAGAAATTTGCATAAACACAGGAGTTGATTATGTACTAAAGAAATAATCCTTGACTCCCTCTTCTTTGTGGCAGCCCCTGAGATACTTGAACGCTGCTATCATGTCCCCCCTCGTCCTGCTCTTCATTAAACTAGACATACCCAATTCCAGCAGCCGTTCCTTACATGTTTTAGCCTCCAGTCCCCTAATCATCTTTGTTGCTCTTCTCTGTCCTCTTTCTAGAGTCTCAACATCTTTTTTATATCGTGGTGACCAAAACTGGATGCAGTATTCCAAGTGTGGCCTTACCAAGGCATTGTAAAGTGCTATTAACACTTTACAAGTCAATGGAAAAGCCAGATTCATTTTCCAACTGCATTACTAACTTGACAACTGCAGTGATTCACTTAGCAACCGTGGCAAATAAAGTCGTAAAATGGGGCAAAACTCGCTTAATACTTGTCTTGCTTAGCAACAGAAATTTGGAGTCAGTCGTGGTCGTACGTCGAGGATTACATGTACAAGTGAGAACTGTGGGGACAATTAAAGTTTTCCAGGGGTAGCTAGTGCTTAACCCAATGGTCTTCCCTGACAGCCCAGGTACCTCTAACCCAGGGGTAGGCAACCTTGGCTCTTTTATGACTCGTGGACTTCAACTCCCAGAATTCCTGAGCCACCCACTCTGAGGGAAAAGGGAGAGGTTTCTAAGCTGAGCCATGCTGGCTCAGGAATTCTGGGAGTTGAAGTCCACCAGTCATGAGGGGGCCATAGTTCCCCCATGCTGGCTCAGGAATTCTGGGAGTTGAAGTCCACCAGTCATAAAAGGGCCAAGTTTGAAGAGCCCTATTCTATCTAGTGCGGGGGTAGGCAACCTTGGCTCTTTTATGACTCGTGGACTTCAACTCCCAGAATTCCTGAGCCAGCCACGCTGAGGGGAAAGGCAGAGGTTTCCAAGCTGAGCCCTGCTGGCTCAGGAATTCTGGGAGTTGAAGTCCACAAGTCATGAGGGGGCCATAGTTCCCTCATGCTGGCTCAGGAATTCTGGGAGTTGAAGTCCACAAGTCATAAAAGAGCCAAGGTTGCCTATCCCTGTTCTAGAGCAATGTTTATCAATGTTGGCAACTTTCAGGGGGGGGGGACTCCAAATCCCATAATTCCACAGCCTGCATACAGTTAGTCAGGGGTCTTCAAACTTGGCCCTTTTAGGACTCATGGACTTCAACTCCCAGAATTCCTGAGCCAGCCACGCTGAGGGGAAAGGCAGAGGTTTCCAAGCTGAGCCCTGCTGGCTCAGGAATTCTGGGAGTTGAAGTCCACGAGTCATAAAAGAGCCAAGCTTGCTTACCCCTGCTCTAACTCGTAAATCAAGACAGAAATTTTTCTTGAGGCATTTGAAGTTTCATGTTACATTGCCAAATTGATCACTTTGTCATGTTGGGTTTTTTAAAATCAATTTTATTGCTTAGCACTGTTCCTTGAAGGGCCGTTCCAAATTTATTTTAAGATGTAAACCTCTGAGAGTCATTCCAGATTTTAAAACAGACAGAATAAATACATTTCTTTTCAACATAAAAGCATGCACTATTTCGGCAGTACAATATAAGCTACTTGCAGCTAACCTCATACTCACTGCCACTGATAATATAACCTAGCTGGATAATAAAATGTCTACAGGCAAACAACAAAATTCAGCATCAAGAACCCCACAGCTAGGGATATTGTCTTTTATTGAAATAAGTAAATAACCTGCGTTTGAAAGACAGTCAGTTGTGACTCCATTAAATGAATAAATGTTGATTTCAATTACCCATCTCCCACAATTAGCCGAATCTGACCATTGAACATCTATGCCCACCAGCTGGAATAGATATCCAATACATGTACAGCAATATTTTTTTTGTTAAATTACCTTGTAATTTTAAATCTATAGAAATTATTATAGTTGTTAAAATGGTCTTTCATTAAAGCTTCTTATTTCATGCCTCATTATATAATTGGTCGTCTAGCACAGAATGCTCGAACAGACGTGTAAAATAGCGATTACGTTTTATCAAACGATGTTAAATCAGATACTGCTAAAGGAGATTCTGAAGTACTTAGGGGCTGTTGCCCCAAATCTGGGCCTCATAGGGTCTTTTAAACTTTTTTCTTTTCTTCCCTTTTCCCTGTAGAATAAAATAGAGTAGATATTGTCACTGTTTAACAGGGGAAGGAATTAAGATACTGTTCCAATTCCTGCCTTGTAAAATATAGTATGCTCATCACCACAAATAAAAATGTTGAAAGTCTTACAAGATAACTGCTGCAAATTTCTTCTGAAGCCATATCCAGAGCATGTGGGAAAATGCAGAAATAATCAGTGGGATAGGCTACTTGGAATGGAGTGGAGTGGAGTGGAGAGTGGAGTGGAATGGAGTAGAATAGAATAGAATAGAATAGAATAGAATAGAATAGAATAGAATAGAATAGAACAACAGAACAGAACAGAACAGAACAGAACAGTATAGAACAGAACAGAACAGAACAGAATAGAATAGAATAGAATAGAATAGAATAGAATAGAATAGAATAGAATAGAATAGAGCTGGAAGGGACTTTGGAGGTCTTCTAGTCCAGCCCCCTGCTCAAGCAGGAGAACCTATACCAGTGATGGCGAACCTTTTAGAGTCCGAGTGCCCAAACTGCAACCCAAAATCCACTTATGTATCGTCGGGTGCCGGGTGGGCATGGCCCATTGGGTAGGCATGGCCCATTGGGTGGGCGTGGCTGCAGTGGTAATGGCAGACTGGGTGGGACCAAAAAGTTCAATCAATCAATTCCAACTTTGCGAGATCTTTTTTTTCCCCGCGAGAAGTCGAAATTGATTGAGTGAACTTTTTTTTTTTGCACACGGCGGCGGAGGCCTAAAGTGAAAACGTTTTATAAAACCTAGCTGAAGGCCTAGGACTGGGGCGACAGCGCGCGTGCCCACAGAGAGGGCTCTGAGTGCCCCCTGTGGCACCCGTGCCATAGGTTCGCCACCACGGACCTATACCATCTCAGACAGGTGAATGTCTAGTCTCTTCTTAAAAATCTCCAGTGATGGAGCACCCACGGTTTCTGGTGGCAAACTGTTCCACTGGTTGATTGTCTTTATGGTACTTTACAGTTTGTTTGTTGTTTGTTTATTTGTATCCCACTTTTATTATTTTTACAAATCGTACCCAAAACCTCAGTGGGGAGCTGTAATCCGCATTGCCTTACTCTTCTTTTCAGTAAATGAGTTCACGGTCATCAGGAAGAAGTTCAAGTGTCCTTACTGCAGCTTCTCGGCCATGCACCAGTGCATCCTGAAAAGGCACATGCGGTCCCACACAGGGGAACGGCCCTACCCGTGTGAAATTTGCGGGAAGAAATTCACCCGGCGAGAGCACATGAAGCGGCACACCTTGGTAAGTTGGGATCTCTAGCGACGTTTCCAGGGGCAGACGACGGACAGAAATGGGACGGAGGGCTGCATGAAAGAGAAAATGGGTGAGCCTGTGACTAGGGATGTTCGGCCCGGAGTTTTCCCAGCCTTCTTTCTATTCATTGGGCGGTGATTTTTTTGCCAACATCGCCTAGGATGATGTTGGCAAAAATCATAAAATCCATAACAATATAAAATTCATAACAGAGCTATGAAAACAATAAAGACACAAAACCAGAATATGGTTTTATTTTTATTTATTTATTTGCATCCTGCCTTTATTATTTTTTCAGAAATAACTCAAGATGACAAATACATACGCTACTCTTTTCTCCTCCTGCTTTCCTTCCCTATTTTCTGCACAAAAACCCTGTGAGAGATTGCTGGCCCAAAGTCACCTTAGGCTTTCGTGCCTAAGATGCGACTAGAACTCTCCGTCTCCTGGTGATTGGCCCAAAGTCACCCAGCTGGCTTTTGTCCCTAAGGCGGGACTAGAACTCTCACTCTCCTGGTGATTGGTCTAAAGTCACCCAGCTGGCTTTTGTCCCTAAGGCGGGACTAGAACTCTCAGTCTCCTGGTGATTGGTCCAAAGTCACCCAGCTGGCTTTCATGCCTAAGGCGGGACTAGAACTCACCGTCTCCTGGCTTCTTGAGCCAGTAAACCAGAATAAAACATAAAATAAAATTAACAGTGCATGCTCGATATGAACAGAATGTATATATTGACTTTGAGAAGCAGGTTTTTAAAATCCATTGCTAGTGCGTGTTAGCAGTGTTCTTGTTTGCTACCTGGCTTAACAAACTGACAAATAGTTCATTTTGTTGTTGAAAACCAATATAGTTATAAAGTAGGGAAATATTTTTGCCAAATTATATGATCAGATGGATAGATAGATAACCTTTATTGTCATTTTTTACTGTGGCAGAATGGCACACATTAAGAATGAAAGTGTACACATACATAACACACATTTAAACATACTACAGTAGTGGCCAAAATTGTGGAAACCTTTTGGGAAAAGTGTACAGTAGAAATGCCACCTTTGGTTAAGTTTCCACCAATTTCCACCATTTTTTCTTCTAATTTCTTTATAACTGTAGCCTTGTTCACTTAACAATACTATTTTACATCGCTTTCTGGGCGACCAGTCAGCTCTTTGCACCGTGACTTTAATTTTATTACGTTTTACAAGCTCACTCAATGAAAGAACACAAAAAAACCCAACCAACTTAATAGCGATCACATAACACACTGACAAATGTCCTCCTCTCAGCTTCAATACATGACATCAATCACTGGATCCTACTGTGATCTGATTGGCTCATGGCCAAAACAAGGTGACACCCGATTGGCTCTCTAAACACTCATGCTCATTGGCTACAATCCGATGAAGGAAAGCTACCTGAGATCAACCTAAGCAAGTTGTGCTTCCTTTTTCTGGTTATTTGGCTATACCATTTCATAGAATACAGTGCAGATAATTGAACAAACTATGTTGCATTACGTTCTTGATTAAATTATCTTTCCATTGATATATAATTTTATGGTACTGCTAAAAAAAAAAGTGGTATTATTAGCCATCCAACCTCAAAAATTACACTTTTCCCAAAAGGTTTCCACAATTTTGGCCACTACTGTAAGTCACTTTTTGCAGTGCCATTGTGACTTTGAGCGGCCCCTAGACGAAAAGTTGTTAGTCAATGCCTATAATGTTTTTAACAGTTGTGTTCTTCTAAAAAATAAGTCTTTAGTGGCATTTCTGGTCAAATTCACACCACACATTGAAGCAAGCCAGTAAAAGCCCTAGCAGGTTTAGGGTTAATTTGGTTATAGTTTTTGGCAGCAGAGCATATTGTGCACCTTCAGTCCATCGGACTACTTTAGGATCCAGCATACCTTTCAGTTTGGGCTTAAAACTAGGTTAAATCATGAACCAGTGAAATATGTTTTATGATTAGGGGACTTGAAGCTAAAGTATATAAGGAACGGTTGCTGGAATTGGGTATGTTTAGTTTAATGAAGAGACGGACAAGGGGGGACATGACAGCAGTGTTCCAATATCTCAGGGGCTGCCCCAAAGAAGAGGGGGTGTCAAGCTACTCTCCAAAGCACCTGAAGGCAGGACAAGAAGCAACGGATGGAAACTAGCCAAGGAGAGAAGCAGCCTAGAACTAAGGAGAAACTTCCTGACAGTTAGAACAATTAACCAGTTGAACAATCTGCCTCCAGAAGTTGTGAATGCTCCAACACTAGAAGTTTTTAAAAAGAGACTGGACAGCCATTTGTCCGAAATGGTATAGGGTTTCCTGCCTGAGCAGGGGGTTGGACTAGATGACCTCCAAGGTCCCCTCCAACTTTATGATGATGATGATGATGATGATGATGATGATGATGATGAATAGGCCAGTGCTTTCCTCACCCAGCCCCACACACTCCTCCAGAACGGCTTGAAGAACCAACAGAATATTTCAAATGCTTCAGGTTTTTAAAAGGGAAAAGAAAAAAGAGCAAACATTGAACCGAAGAGTTATTTAGATGGAATATGTCTCTAAAACCATTCCGAACACTTTTTGGAACAAGATCCAAACATAGGAAGTGCATCCGTGAAAGAAATCCTGTTTCCTCCCAGCTGTTCTCTGGATATCGGGCAGGATATTTTGCAGACAGCCTGTCTTTGCACCCAGTTGCCTCCTGGAAATGGCTGTCTTCCTTTCCATGGGGGGGGGGGGGAAACCATCAACGCTCAGCCGATAAGCTACTGTCTGCTTACCGCAGGTGCAAGGTTGCATCTTGTCGTGCCAAATGGCGGCATTTTGCTGGATCAGATGGGCAGCTAGCTTGCATTGCTTCCACAGCAATGTTTAGGGGCCACTGCACTCTGTTGCCATAGTACCCAGAACCTGCTGCCTCTGTCCTTCTCTCCACGAATCCTTGTCCATTCGGATGACTGCCCGGCCATCTGGACATGGGACCAATTGCTCCCCAGATGCCCCTTGATTTGCTCCGTTGGGGTAGCCTCCGAGATATTAATTCAGCTACAGATACACATGCCTCAGATCTCTTCTTTGTTCTTCGTTGAAATCAAACTCTCGCCCCACGGCGGATGAATTTCAGGGACATTTTGAAAAAAACAAATTTTGGGGAAAATTGCGAGGCACGTACAAGGGGTGCAAGCGATCGTCAGCCAATGATGAAAAATAAAAACTATTTGCACAAAAATGCAAAAAACAAGGAAAAGCTCGTAGGTTTATGTCCTTTCGAATATATAGGGGCTGTTGTTGTGGGGAAAACATGAGCAGGAACGAACATTATTAATAAAGGAGAATATTTGCAGCTGAGGGTTGATATGAGGGCTCCTTAGTGCTCTCTAAGCTTGCTTGTTTTCTTACAGATGTTTAATTACTGAAACTAGGTAACAGCATCAGTGCTAGCAATAATAATAATAATAATAATAATAATAATAATATTATTATAATGGAGTTGGAAGGGACTTTGGAGGTCGTCTAGTCCAACCCCCTGCTCAGTCAGGAAAGCCTACACATTTCAGACAAATGGCTGTCCAGTCTCTTCTTAAAAACTTCCAGTGTTGGAGCATTCATAACTTCTGGAGGCAGGTTGTTCCACTGGTTAATTGTTCTAACTGTCAGGAAATGATGATGTTACCAAGTTTGGGTAATGAAATGTCTGCAAGAAAACAAGCAAGCTCAGAGAGTACCAAGACCCCCCCCCCAAGAAGTATTATGTATGTTCACCGCCTTGAGTTACTTATAAAATAATAAAAGTTGGGATAAAACACTATTACATCAAGGATATTTTATTTAATTTGTGCTTTGCTTTTGTGGCTTAGGGCAGATAATAACCAAGAGTAGGAAACAAAGGGAAGGGAAGTTAAGAAAGAAGGAAGGAAGGAAGGAAGGAAGGAAGGAAGGAAGGAAGGAAGGAAGGAAGGAAGGAAGGAAGGAAGGAAGGAAGGAGTGGTGGGATTCAAATATGTCAACAACCGGTTCTCTGTGTGAATGCCACTTCCGGAAGTCCATTCTGGGCCTGGGCAACAAAAAATTAGCTACCGGTTCTGCCGAACTGGAGCAAACCGGCTGAATCCCACCACTGTTCGTAAGTGTGGAAAAAGCATCGCAAGTCACTTTTTTTCAGTGACGTCGTAACTTCGAACGGTCACTAAGTGACAGCACAACAGAGCGTACAACAAATGAACTGTACAATCTACACTGGGCTTTTCCCTCTGCTCATTTTCTCGGCTTTCATTTTTTGCCTCCCTCCCCAGGTCCACAGCAAAGACAAAAAATACGTCTGCAAAGTGTGCAGCCGGGTGTTCATGTCTGCCGCCAGCGTGGGCATCAAGCACGGCTCCCGGCGCCACGGCGTGTGCACCGACTGCTCCGGCCACGGCCTGGCCGGCCACTTAGAGGTTGGCGGCGGAGACGGGTCCCCGGAGGGCTTGTACGGCCCCTACGCTGAAGACCCCGAGGATCTCAAGGCGGAAGGAGACGAAGACGTGGGGGAAGAAGAGGAGCTGAAATGGAAAGAGGAGGCCGAGATTTCCCAAGACGAGGCGATTCTGGAAAACGAGAAGGATGGCAGTGACTCTGGCCCGGAGCAGGAGAACCCTGAGAAGACCAACAAGGATTTCACTTGGATTTCTTAGGGATTTCTGGGGGGGGGGGTGTTTCCTGTCGGTTTGGGGGTCGCAGGGTGGGAAGAGCTGTATGAGGAAAACTCAAGGAGCCTGGTCATTGTCCCCGTGTATAGAAGCGTGTTACGTGTGAAGACTTTTCCCTTTTTTTTCTTTTTTTTCCCCAAAGAACACCTGATAAGTTCTCTTATCAGACTTTGCCTCGGTGCTGTCGCTTCCTTCTTTTAAATCCTCCCAATCGTTTTTAAAATAGGGGGGGAAAAAAGAAATCCACCCCTCAGTCTTTCAATCGGAACTGACCAGGTGATTATGCAGACCGCGTGGAATTTCCTCACTCAAATATGTACGTTTCCCCCCCCCCGCGTGCACGGTAAAACTTAACCTACGGAGGACGTGTGCTTCTCCCACGATAATTATTAAAAAAAAAAGATTTAAAATAATTACCCTTTCAGCAGCAAGGGAGACGTGGTATCGAGGTGGTAAACAAAACAGTGGGAGCATTTGAGAGCTTAGCCGAGGAGAACAATGGGTCTTTCCAGTCTGCGGCCTTCCCTAGACTGTGGTCCTCTTTCCCTGCAGTGGGTTGATCCAAGGATTAATTTAGCCCACTGGCTATTTGTAAACCTCAGGTTGCCTCCTTTTACACAGCTTTTGCTTGCTGAGGAGGGAAGAGTGAGGCTTTCGTGCCACAAATAGGCCCCCTCGTGGCTAAGTCTCAAACATTCACTTTTCTGTCTTTTTCAATAAGTTTCTTTTTCCTCTCGTTTGGGGAAAAGAAACGAGGTTTGAAGCCAGGCGTTGTAGCAGTCAGAGGAACCAAACGGTTTCCTTGGCCAAGCTCTCTAAAAGAAATAGCCACGTGGCTTGTTACGAAGCCTTGGCTGTATCGAGTTACTACAGGTAGTCCTCAATTTACAAACCCCAACTGGGCCCAGAATTTCTATTGCTACGTGAGACATTTGTTCAATGAGTTTTGCCTGGTGGTGGGATTCAGCTGGTTCGCACCGGTTCAGGAGAACCAGTAGCTAAATTTACCTGAATTCGGAGAACCGGCTGCGTTCCGGACGTCCAATCTAGGCCTCGGAGGCCTGGAGGAGTCCTCCCAGGCCTAGAATGGCCCACCAGAAGTGTGTAGATGCCACTTCCGGAAGTCTGTTCTAGGCATCAGAAGTCTGGAGGAGCCCTCCCAGGACTAGAATGGCCCACCGGAAGTGCGTGGATGCCACTTCCGGAAGTCTGTTCTAGGCATTGGAGGCCCAGGCCTGCATCACATAATAGAACCGGTTGTTCCGGTATTTGAATCCCACCACTGGTTTTGCCCCATTTTAACGACTTTTCTTGCCACAGTGCTTAAGTGAATCGTTTGCAGTTGCTAAGTTAGTCACACGATTGTTAACGAATCCAGCTTCCCTCATCGACTTTGCTTATCAGAAGGTCGCAAAAGGGGACCGCATGGCCCCGGGACACTGCAACCGTCAGACATACGAGTCATTTATGAGCTGTGGTGACGCAGGGGTTAGAATGCAGTGCTGCAGGCTAATTCTGCTGACTGCCGACTGCTAGCAATTTGGCAGTTCGATCCTGACCGGCTCAAGGTTGACTCGGCCTTCCATCCTTCCGAGATCGGTAAAATGAGGACCCAGATTGTTGTGGACAACATGCTGACTCTCGCTTAGAGAGAGCTGTGAAGCACTGTGAAGCGGTGTATAAGTCTAGGTGCTATTGCTAAGTCCTAAGAAAGGAAGAAAGATTAAAGAAGGAAAAGGAAGGGAGGGAGGGAGGGAGGAAAGGAAGGAAGGAAGGAAGGAAGGGCCCTGGTGGAGCAGTGGTTAGAATGCAGTATTGCAGGCTGACTCTGCCGACTGCCAGCAGTTCGATCCTGACTGCTCAAGGTTGACTGCGCCTTCCATCATTCTGAGGTCGGTAAAATGAGGACCCAGATTGTTGGGGGGCAAATATGCTGACTCTGTAAACCGCTTAGAGAGGGCTGTAAAGAACTGCGAAGCGGCATATAACTCTAAATGCTATTGCTATTTGCCAAGTGTCTGAATTTTGATCACATGACCACGGGGACGCTGCAGTGGTCATAAGTGTAAAAAAATGGCTGTGTCATTTTTTCCAATGCTGTTGTAACTTCAAATGGTCACTAAATGAATTGTTGTAAGTCAAGGACTACCTGTATGTCAATTTGACCAATTTTGCTGTCCTGTGGAGTGGGGAATCTATACGGATCGTCTGTGGCACAGTCCCTCTCAAGGAATGAGTGCTAATCATCTCGCGGGGGCAGGTTAATATGTACATTATCCCGTTTTAGCCCCCATTTGAAGCAGTCCACAAGACCACATCAATACAGCAAGCCTTTTGAGCAGGGAAATTTCCACTTGGTTTCCCAGCCTGGTCAGGAGATGTTTTTGTCAACCCTACGAAAGCCCCACATATTCTTCAAAAGGGTTTAGTACCTCTTTCTCTGGAGTTTTAGGATCTGCACATTTGGGGAAGCAAATGTCCGTATTTAGAATAGAATAGAGCTGGGAGGGACCTTGGAGGTCTTCTAGTCCAGCCCCCTCCCCCCCTCAAGCAGGAGAACCTATATACCATCTCAGACCAGCGACTGCCCAGTCTCTAAACAAGATATTTTGTGACCTTTCTTCTCTTTAATGATTCAATAGGATTTCTGGCTGGTTACTGCTACTTTCCTGGGGCAGCTTTAAAAGGCTCATTTTGCCAATTTGCCCTTTTTTTTATCTTTGCTTCCTGCCTTGAGCAGGGAAACCTCTGTTCTCAGCTGCAGAGCTTGTAGTTTTATTCCGAATACTGTGAGGCTCAAAACTACTATCTTAAAACTGACCTTAAAAAAAAACCCAAGTCTCAGAATCAGAGAGGTCAAATAGTTAAAGGTGCTGATTCCATGTGTTTGTGTACATGTTTGTGTGTCTAACATATGTCTCTGTGTTGTCAGATGCAGTACCTGACAACAAAGGTAGCATATCATAATTTCTAAAGAGTAATGTATGCTTTCCTTCTCTGGCGCCGGTCCTAACCCAATATTGGACTCTGGAGTGTTTTAATAATGTAACTTAAGGAACTGGGAACATCCTAGTTACAGAGCTTTTTTCTTTTCTTTTTCTGTATTAATTTTCAGTTGGTTTCGTAAGTCAATGGAGGAGGGAGAAATGTACAAGAATGAAAGACATCTGGCATTGTTAATTCTCCAGAAAAAGCCCCCTTAACAGAGAGAGAGAATATTACAGAATTAAAACATTAAAACATCAGCTGTCAAAGCTGAAACATTCAAAGTAATATTACAACAGATAAAAAGAACCAACACATAGATGGGATGGAGGTGAGATTTTGTCTAGTAGCCACTTCCAAAATAGGATGCCCACATCAGGGCCCCCAAGTCAAATGGCAGAGCCAGGTTTTCGGGCTTTTAATGTGGCCTTATCCATCAGGTGATCATGACAAGAAAATACATCCAAGCCTTATTGCACAGCCTGCCTCAAATGCAGCGTATACATGTAAGTACTTACATCTAATCTAACTGGAGATCATGGAAAGGCAGAAAACAATGGATTATAAAGAGCAATAAAATTGCCTGCTTGTGCTTCTACAGAGTCTAGCAGGCTGACACTCGGCCCCAAAGACTGAATGGGCTCCACCCAAGGCGTCCTGCAACTTGATTTGGGAGGCGGAATTGTTTCCGTCTCCCCTAAAAGGGCTTCAAATCCAAAGAAAGACATTCCTTGACAGTAATAGCAGCTTATCGGTGCTAAAATGCTTCCCATTTAAGTTTCACATTTCTCAGTGGAACATCCGAGCAGAAATTGCACTCCAGTTTGCACTAAGAAACGGCTTCCTCCAAGCTCTTGATCTGCCAAGGCAATATTTTACCTACATTTGTTTCATTACGTATCACAGCTTCGCTGTTTCCTTCTTCTTTTACCGGGGTAAAACATTGCGCAGCAAAGAGAACCGAAAGGGGAATTTAAGAAATGCGCCGTTCTGTTCACGTCTTTTTTTCCCAACCTATCAATTGTCAGCTTTTCCTCATCGTAGTTGTCATTTTTCCCACACTCCCCATTCGTTGAAAGGCTGGGGTTTAGCTACTCTTTTCCTGAAGTCAAAGAATGCATTTATCGCCTGTATTGACCCAACGTGCTGAACACAGTTATTGCAGCCACTTGTTTTCTGAGTTTACGGAATAATTGAATAAATAAATTAACCAGACAGAGTTCAGACCATCTGCTAGGACACTGTTGAAGGAAAAGTCTTCATCGTGGTTCAGTCCAAGCCGGGAATAAACAACATGGCGAAGGTTGCAGTTTATTGAACAGGAGAGCCAGACAGAAAGATGGCTCTGACAGAAAAGAGAGAGAGCACATGTAGGGAGTGGGTTTTTGTACCATCTGGAGCCTTTTGTTTGGAGTTGTTTCCTGTTCCTGTTTGAGGCTTTGTATTTCCTGTGTCATGTATTCTGACCTGAGTCTGGGTGTGCCCTTTGGCATCTGTGGGTTAATCCTATTATGTCCTGTCTTAGAGTTTCGGTGGGGTATGTAGATTTTAGGTGTCTTTGTCTTCTTAATCTTCTAGCTGGGGGCCTCCAACCTTCCTGGATTATTTACATCTGCATTTCTACAGAGCTGGTTTCTGCTTGGGGGAGGGAGACTTGGGGCTATTAAGAAAAAACTGGGCATGCTTTTCTGCCTCTTTAAGATCCTTTGAGGAAATAATTTTTTTTGTCCTTTTAATATTTCCTTCTCTGGGGGGGCTGACTTCCCACAACGCCAAAACCAAGGTTAAAAGTAACCGAGTGTAGCATCAACCCACGAGATGAGCAGCATGTAAATTTGATAAATAAATGTATAAATGCAGATGTTAAGTCTGACTCTGTCTTGGTTAAGGAGGTTGGAGAAGTACAGCTCTTGCGTGAATGTGGGATATTTGGGTGATTGGAATAGATCACGGACTTCTATTAAGTTGCAAAGCAGTGTGTTCATTTAACCATTGGTGGG